ATTTGTGGTGCATTTTGCAGGAACAAATCAACAATATCCACCAACGTTTGCTGCAGCAGCAGCTGCAGCTGCTGCTGGTGGCGGAGGCGCAACAGCCAGTGGTTGGTCACAATCTGATATTGGTTAGTTATGCGTCTCCATACTTTCATGCATTTTTTTCAAGAACGAGGTGGTATAATTGGGGCTTTTTGAAAATTTTCTCACCAGCTCTTAGAAGCTAACAAAATGCAGATTATATGCATAAATTTGCATTCCGAAGCACCATAGTTTAAATTACTTTTTAGAGTTCTAAAGCTCGTTTATCGTTCGCATTTTTACAAACACACATTAACGGGTCCAGGCGTGGGAGAGGGAGTCTGGATTTAATGCTAAAACTGAAGAAAACTCTCTTCCGTACCCATCCCCTCCCCCACTCCCGTCGTACCCCTCCCCTCTCCCTCGCACCTCCCCAGAAAGCCGTCCTGGATCCGCCTATGCAAACAAACAAACTGCTTGGGGATTCAAACTGTTTATCTCGCTTGGAATTTAGACCCCCTCAACTTAACTGCGAGTTTCGAACTCCTTAAATTTTTAACTGAGAGTTTGAACTCCTTACTCACCCTAGCAGTCTCAGGGTCACCCCCTCAGTCGTTGGTGATTTGCTTTAAAAGCCTTTTTACCACTCGATCGTCGTTTTGGGGCATTTTTTTCCAGGATCCCTCTCCCCACCCCCGCCCCCTCGTACCTCCCCAAAAAGCCGTCCTGGATCCGCCTATGCAAACACACAGATTAGGGGACTCAGATTGTTTATCTTACTTGGAATTTAGACCCTTTCAGCTTAACTGCGAGTTCCGAACTCCTTAAATCCTTAGCTGAAAGTTTGAACGCCTCACTTACCCTAATAATCTCCCTCAATTGGTCTCAGGATTATCCCTCAGTTGATGGTGATTTGTTTTAAAGGCCTTTTTTTTTACCGCTCCGTCATCGTTTTGAGGCATTTTTTCCAGGATTTTTGTTTTTTTCAGGATTTTATTACAGTGCAGCATCCAAGAATTTTTCAGAGCAACAACGGGTATGGGGAGCCATGACGGGTCAGACACAAACGAATCGCACTGCCACTACAGCATTTTGTGGTGGCCTAAGCCAGAATAAGCTATGGCCAAACGATGAGCAGCAACAGCAGCAGCAACAACAGGTTTGGAGTGGCGCTCAACGTCCTCCGGCATTTCACACCGGCCCACCGCCACCAACTGCTGCAGCTGCTGCTGCCGCTTATGCTGCTGCTGCTGCAGCCGCTGCTAATGGTTTGCTTTTCGTTCATAATGGTGCTGGTCTAGTGAGTTTGTTTGCTAAATACGCTACTTTTTGAGATTGAGTTTTTTCCTGTAATTGTAGAAATGCAAATTTGCTAGTCTAACGGGAAAGTGCAGCTTTGCCAAGTTTTTTTCAAATAAGCAGATGTTGGACGGAAATTTTTCTGAGTAGGTAGTTTCGAAGAAAATTGGTAGAGTTTTTAATTAAAATTAATTGAATGACCGCCAACACATAGGCACTTTTAGTTGTTTCGTTGCAAAAGGAATAAGGAGCAGACCTGAACAAGAAGTAAAATTGGCATTTTGTCTTCGTTTTGCTTTAGCTACCTTGCGCTCCCATGTGTTATGCAAATGTCCCGTCTTGAGACTCATAGTCCCTCTCGTGATATAAAATTGGTGTTCGTTTAGGGCTAGTGAGCTTAACGATCCTCCTAACAAGAGCACTGGGCAGGGTTTTAACCTGTTCGAGGTGTTGTTGGCGTGTATTGAGTGTTAACAGCCTTAGATCGAAAATTGAGGGCTTACGGGTTTGGGGTTTCTACGAACGGGGAATTATACGGATTTTTAAGCTGACTGTAGCATC